TTGAGGGAGGAACTTGGTGCGGCCGAGCAAGAGGTGGAGAAAGGCAGGGAACATATCAGAAGCACACAGAATGAAGGCGACATTCAAATTCGGATTTTGTTGGACAAGATTGCGAAAATGGAAGCCGATATCCGAAATGGGAGCAGTATAAAGAAAGAACTTCAAGAGGCCCATAACGAAAAACGGGGTTTGGTCAAAGAGAGGCTGGAGTTGACTAATAAAATTCAGCTGGCGACTAAAGAGTTGGATAATTCTCGTGCGGATGTTAAGAAGATTCCGGAAATGCGTGCGGAACTTGATAGCCTGAGGGAAGAACATCAGAGGTTACGGTAAGTGGAATAAGCATTTTTTTTTGTTCTATAATATAGTAAAGAAATGAATTTTCAATTTACGTTCATGTTTCTTTTGTGATATGTCATTAATATACGTTATGAATTTATGTTTATTTTTCCTTTTCTTATACTTACTTTCGGCTTTTTTATTTTTTTATTTTTTTGGGTTGTGAATATGAAGCAAGACGTTTGAACATGAAAAAGGCGTAAACACAGAAAAAGTGGAACAAATGAAGACTTTGGAGAAAGACCTAATCGACATGTCTGCTGAAGTTGAAAAGTTGCGCGCTGAGGTGTTGAACGCTGAGATGAGAGCTAACGGTAACATTTTTTCCCGTTTTTATATTAGTTTTCCATCTAAAACCCTTTTTCATTATCGTTCTCATATATATTTATATGCAGCTCCAATCCCATACAGCGGTCAATACGTAAACACAGGTAACATATATCCACCTCAGTATTATGGAAATGGTGGCTATCCGGAAAGTTTCAGTATGCCTCATTTTTATCCGTATGCCGTTGGTGGATTTTCGATTGGGCCTCAAGTATTCGCTGGTCCGTTAGTTGGCGGTGATGCCGCATCCGGTGGTGGATTTTCAGTGGTCCCACCTCAAGTTATTGGCGGTGATGCCACATCCGGTGGTGGATTTTCAGTTGTCCCACCTCAAGTTATTGGCGGTGATGCTGGCGGTGGATTTGCAGTGGCCCCCCCTCAAGTTGTCGGGGTTGATGCTGCTGGTAATGTTTGGGGAGGGGTGTACGATAAGTCCAGTGCTCCTCAGATATAGACGATAATTTATTTAGGAATTTGGAGGCTGTTATGCTATAAGATATTGAACAATTAAATTAACCTGTTAATTAAATCATCTCAAATTATAATAGTTCTTCACAAATGGTTTTATACTTTCTTTGAAGTTATAACTTATATTAACAGTTGTTGTAGAGAACTTGTTTGTTGGGCTGAAATGTTATTTGTTTGGTGTTAATGGTAATATTTACAAAGATGAATGAGACATATTATACTTCATTTTTTTTTTCTTTTTTTGTCATAAATGAACCCACATTCAACTATATAAGTGCACTATTCAACTATATATAGTGCACTATTCAACTATATAAGTGCACTGAGTATTCTCGTATACAACTATATATAGTGCACTATTCAACTATATAAGTGCACTGAGTATTCTCGTATAATAGTGTGCAAATCATATGAAATATATAAACTATATTAGGCTAATCATGTGTGACAAGCTGACCTAACGACCGTGGACAAGAGTATTCGAACTTGGGTTAATTGACCCAAATCTTATTTGCTCCAATCGCTAGGCCATCCTGTGCGGGACATACTAATTTTTTTCTTTATTCTGTTGTACGGGATGTGTGTGTTGTAACTTGTAATACATCTTTTGTAATTTGGTTCTTGAAGGATTTTGTTGGACAAGATTGCAAAAATGGAAGCCGACATCCGAAATGGGAGCAGTATAAAGAAAGAACTTCAAGAGGCCCATAATGGAAAACGGGGTTTGGTCAAAGAGACGCTGGAGTTGACTAATAAGATCCAGCTGGCGACTAAAGAGTTGGATAATTCTCTTGCGGATGTTAAAAAGATTCCGGAAATGCGTGCGGATGTAAGGAGATTCCGGGAAATGCGTGCGGATGTTAAGAAGATTCCGGAAATGCGTGCGGATGTTAAGGAGATTCCGGAAATGCGTACGGAACTTGATAGCTTGAGGGAAGAACATCAGAGGTTACGGTAAGTGAAATAAGCATTTTTTTTCGTTATATAATATAGTAAAGAAATGATTTTTCAATTTACTTTCGTGTTTCTTTTGTGATACGTCTTTGATATACGTTATGAATTTATGTTCGGTGTTCCTTTTATTATACTTACTTTCGACTCTTTTTTTTTATTTTATTTTTTTGGGTTGTGAAAATGAAGCAAGACGTTTGAACATGAAAAAGGCGTAAACACAGAAAAAGTGGAACAAATGAAGACTTTGGAGAAAGACCTAATCGGCTTGTCTGCTGAAGTCGAAAAGTTGCGCACTGAGGTGTTGAATGCTGAGATGAGGGCTAACGGTAACATTTTTCCCGTTTTTATATTAGTTTTCCATCTAAAACCCTTTTTCATTATCGTTCTCATATATATATATATATATATATATATATATATATATATATATATATATATATATATATATATATATATATATTATGTGTGTTTTTCGTAAAAGATTGTTTGTGATAAAAAAATATAATTTTTAAATATGTTAATGAGATGTATTTATAATTTTTGGACTTTATAGTTTCAAAATGATTGATTGAATAAAAAAATGATTTGACATTTGTCATCCTAAAAAATACCAGTGAAAATATTAAATTACCCTTATTAGCTATAAAAATTCATTTGGGTGCAGTATGCATGATTTATTGTGTTTTGAGGTGTAAATTGAATTAATTTGTTTCGATGATGCAAAGTGTCAAAATTGTGTGTGTGTGTGTGTGTGTGTGTGTGTATATATATTGTTTAATGATTTATATTTATATTTATATGCAGCTCCAATCCCATATAGCGGTCAATACGTAAACACAGGTAACGTATATCCACCTGCGTATTATGGAAATGGTGGCTATCCGGAAAGTTTCTGTGTGCCTCATTTTTATCCCTATGCTGTTGGTGGATTTTCGGTTGGGCCTCAAGTATTCGGTGGTCCGCTAGTTGGAGGTAATGCCACATCCGGTGGTGGATTTTCAGTGATCCCACCTGAAGTTATTGGCGGTGATGCTGGCGGTGGATTTGCAGTGGCTCCCCCACAAGTTGTCGGAGTTGATGCTGCTGGTAATGTTTGGGGAGGGGTGTACAATAAGTCCGGTGCTCCTCAGATGTAGACGATTATTTATTTAGGAATTTGGAGGCTGTTTTGCTATAAGGTATTGAACATTTAAACTAACCTGTTAATTAAATCATCTCAAATTATAATAGTTCTTCACAAATGGTTTTATACTTTCTTTGAAGTTATAACTTATATTAACAGTTGTTGTAGAGAACTTGTTTGTTGGGCTGAAATGTTATTTGTTTGGTGTTAATGGTAATATTTACAAAGATGAATGAGATACTTCATGTTTTTTTTTCTTTTTTTTGTCATAAATGAACCCACATTCAACTATATAAGTGCACTATTCAACTATATATAGTGCACTATTCAACTATATAAGTGCACTGAGTATTGTATACAACTATACCCTTATACCAAATGTTTTATTGTATTTATTTCTCTCTCATAACCACTAATAGCAATTGATTTCTTCCCTGTCAAACATTGAATTTTTCACTCCCACTAATTTACTCTCCCACTTATTCTCTCTCTTTTAATTTTAATTATCTATAAATTATTTTTGTCTCCCTAAATTCTTTCAAACTCCATAACCTTAACAATTGAAAGACCAAAAAAATAAGGAAAAGAAAAACATTCCCATAAAAATATCTTATTTCAACATTTAAATCCTTTGAATCTTGAACAAAATTGAGTCTTCATTTTCTTTAGCTTTCTCTTCAAAACCTTATGAATCTGTATTTTTTATGTTGTCAGCATCCATTTTTCTGTCATTATTCGCATGGAGAAATTAAATAGAATTAGTATTGGTCATGCATTTATTCTTTTTAATAAACCTTGTGAGTGGAGTGTGTTGGAAAAAAAATTAAAAAAATAGAGTTAGTTATACTTACAATTAATAATAGAGAGAGATCATCGAAAATTAAGAGACAAAAAAAGAGAATTGGAACGTGTCTTTCATTTTCATAAACTGTGGGTAGTTTGCATTAGGGGTATTAGTGGAAAATATTTAATTAATGCCTCATTGGAATTATAAAACGTCTGATAATATGAAACAAAAAAAATTCTCCAAAGTGACAGATAATTTGAAACGGAGGGAGTATATAAGTGCACTGAGTATTCTCGTATAATAGTGGGCAAATCATATGAAATATATAAACTATATTAGGCTAATTATCTGTGACAAGCTGACCTAACGACCGTGGACAAGAGTATTCGAACTTGGGTTAATTGATTATTGACCCAAATCTTATTTGCTCCAATCTATAGGCCATCCTTTGCGGGACATACTATTTTTTTTTTTTTTTTAATTCTATTGTATGGGATGTGTGTATTGTAGCTTGTAATACATGTTGTGTACTTTGGTTCTTGAAGGACTTCCATAGTTATATATTATCACAGAATGTGAAATACTAGTACATTATTTAATGTATTAACATTCATATTATTTCAACTCACTTTCATTTAATTATTTTACAATAGATATTTTTGTGTAGTCCCGCCTAATGCTTAATTTTATCATCCAAAATTCAAAAAGAAAATCTAGTTTTTTTTTTAAGAAAATCAAACTCATTTAGGGATATTGTTAGTCCATTAGCCCGTGAAATTTGTTATATATGATTCGAGTGTGGCTGAGTCATGACCGATAAATGGTGCCAAGTGAAGGATGGTAAAAGACAAAAACACATAGTTCAATGAGCGGTCGAGTAGTAGACATCTATTTGGGTGCCTGTCTAAGAAAGCAAGAAATGATTATCGACGGTTGAGCAATGGCGTAGCTTGACGTACAACCGACACGAGCTAGGAACGAGGAGTAAGACTTAGGGATGTCAAGAGTGAGTCTTGGCAGTCCGACACAAGATTGCGGACAAGGGTCTTGGACGTTTGCAGAGCGATTAAGGCCTGAAAAACATGGAAAATACCCATTTGTAATTTGTAATAGTAGGTCAAGTGGCTTTTCAGCGTACCGGACGTCATGTATTCATAGATAGTTTTAGCAGTAGGAAGTAGGAACTTACTAATTAATTTTGTTTTTTCCATTCAAAAAAATAAAAAAATAACTTTTTTGATGTATTCTTAAATCTATTTATGTAATTACAATAAAGTCCTGTAATATAATTCTTTCAAGCTCCAAACTCCATTACCAGATTTATATCCCCTCTTCTGTTCTTCCTTTCCCCCCTTTCGTCAAATCCCTAAAATTCTAATTCGAATCCAGCCAGTCCATTTCCGATCGCCACTGCCCAACTGATTCCAACGATTCGCCGGAGATTCCTCGATAAATATTTACATCCCATTCCGGTAAGCTCTCCATCACTTCAAATACGATTAATCCAATTCGTCTTTATGCTTTCATGGTACCGATAGAGTTACTCCGTACGAAAATTCCTTAATTTCTGTTCTCATGTTGAAATTTATGGTTAAAATCTCCCTTTATTTATCTGTGTTTGGATTTTTCGTGCGCTCTCAGTTGTGTTCATAATTTGGTTCTGTATAGTATCTTCCTTGTAGATATTATTGTTAATGAGGTTAATTTCTTTTTTGATTTATTTATAATAAACAGATTGCAAGTGTTCAAACGCCATGAGTGTGGTGAGATGGCCGAGGCTTTTTTTAACCCCAACTCAACTCTCACAGCTAATACTCAGCCAGAAAAACCCATTAAAGGCCCTCGATATCTTCAACGAAGCTAAAACTCGATACCCGAACTACCGCCACAACGGTCCAGTTTACGCCACCATGATCAGAATCCTAGGAAGCTCCGGGCGGATAACCGAGATGAAAGAAGTAGTCGATCGGATGAAAGACGACTCTTGCGAGTGTAAAGATTATGTCTTTGCCAACTTAATCAGAACCTACGCAAACGCGGGCTTGTTCGACGAAGCCGTCTCTTTATTCCACACTCTCCCCGAATTCAACTGCGTGAACTGGACAGAATCTTTCAACACTCTTCTGGAGATAATGGTGAAAGATTCCAAGCTGGAATCCGCTTATCACTTCTTTGTCGAGAATTGCCATGGTTGGGAGATCAAGTCTCGAATACGTTCGTTGAATTTACTCATGTCTGCTCTCTGTCGAATAAACCGTTCTGATCTTGCATTGCAAGTTTTTCAAGAAATGGATTATCAGTGGTGTTGTGCCGATAGGGAATCTTACAAGATTCTGATGAAGGGCTTGTGTGAAGATAGAAGACTCACAGAGGCGACGCACTTGTTGTACTCGATGTTCTGGAAGATTTCTCGAAAGGGATGTGGGGCCGATGTTTCTATATATAGAACACTATTGGAGGCTTTATGTGACAATGGTGAGGTAGAAGAAGCCACTGAAGTACTCGAGAAGGTCTTGAGAAAAGGTCTAAAGGCTCCTAGAAAGTTCCGGAAGAAGATCGATTTAAGCCAGTTTTACCATAAAGACGAAGCGGGGATTTATCAAACAAAGGCTTTGATTAATGAAGCTTTGATTAAAGGTGGGGTTTCGGGCTCGGACGGTTATCGGGCCATGGCTGTTGATCTTTATTCGGAAGGAAGGATTGATGAAGGTGGTAAGGTGCTCGATGAAATGCTCCAAAGAGGGTTTCGTCCGTCTTTGCCGATTTACGAAGCTAAAGTAGCTGCCTTGTTTAAAGTAGGGAAAATCGATGAAGTAGTGTGTGTTGTTGAGAGGGAAATGATTGAGAACAACTGTGTTCCGAGTCTGAGGTTGCACAACGTTGTAATAAAAGGGTTGTGCGAGAAGAGGGAATTAAATCGGGCTATGGAGTACTTCGAGAAGATGTTTAGACAAATCGGTTGTGTACCGGATAAGGAGACGTATAGTTATTTAGTTGATGGATTGTGTTGCGATGGTAAATATATGGAAGCTAGTGGAATGTTGGAGAAGATGGTGATAAACTCGTTTTGGCCGGGGGGTGAAGTGTACGGTAGAGTTATACGAGGGCTTTGCTTAATCGGGAATACGTTTAAAGCTGTTTTGTGGTTGGAGGAAATGATTAGTCAGGGTAAAATACCTGATACATCCGTGTGGTGTTCTTTGGTGTCTTCTGTTTGTTGTGATGAGATTTTGTCTCTAAATTTTGAGTGAGTTTTGATAATTGTAGGCGAGTTTCCTTGAAAAAGCAAGAGTTTGTCTTGTTTTGATTTTTGTGTAAAAATTTATATATATATATATAATTCATAAAAAATCATAAATATATTGTTTTAGTTAACAAAGTATCCTACTATATACTAATTAAAAATAAGGGTAAATTACAAACACCCCCCTGAGGTATGGTCAAATTACAAAAAACCCCTCTTGTTTGGATAATTACATCTACCCCCTCAACTATGATTTTTTCTTACCTTTATGGTGCCAAATTCGACATAGTCATCTAGATTCCGCGAAATGTGCTCTAGTTTGTACTCTTTGTGTAAAAAATACAGTTTCCGATGCACCACAAACTGATATATATAAACTAAAAATCACATATTATGGTCATCTTGCTTCATAATGTAGAGTTTGAATGGGATAAAACGGGTACAAAAGTGATAATATTCCATATAATCTCGAAGATTCCACTAAATTTGATGAGTTGAGGGGGTGGTTGTAATTATCCAAACAAGATGGGTGTATTTGTAATTTGGTCATACCTCAGGGGGGTGTTTGTAATTTACCCTAAAAATAATAGGTTTTATTCCAATTTTTGAAAGAAAAAATTAAATCCGATCGAAAATATGAAGTATATATGGAAAAAAATAACCATATTTTTGATCGAATTTGATGCGGGATCACTCAAGTTGTCGGGAGTCTTTCGAGTTTCGATCTAAAGAGTTGACAAAGAACACATGGATTTTGAAACTTTTGATCGGAATCCGAATTAGAATCGACTTTTCACTTTCCGAAAAAAAAAATGGGTATGTTTTCCGATTTTATACGTACAATTCCACCCATAAAATATACATTTTAAATCCTAACAATGTTTTTCAATAACATTAATATAAAAAGGGGCTATATGCCGATTTTAATTCTTGATAAATCTTTTATTTATAAATGATATTTGAGATAAATCCAATGGGCCTCAAAAACCATATATGCCCCCACTAACTATTAATTAGTATAATTATTTAATTTAAAAAAATTATACCCATAATCCCACACCCAAATCTTCTCAAAAAATTATTCCCTTTATCACGCTACTCCAGTTTTTTTTTTTTTTTTTTTTCCTTTTCGTTTTTGTAATAGTTTTTAATTTAAAAAAAATTATATCCATAATCCCACACCCAAATCTTCTCCAAAAATTATTCCCTTTATCACGCTACTCCAGTTTTTTTTTTCCTTTTCGTTTTTGTAATAGTTTTCTTTATTTCGATTTAAAAGAAAATTTTGTAATTTTTTATTTATTTTTATTTTCGGTTTTTTATTTCAATTTTTTAAATGATTTTTTATTTATTTTCTTTCTATTTTTTTAAATGAAAACCACTCTATATAAGCATGAAAACCACTCCGTATAATAATTATATAACATGAAAACCACTTTTTATAACAACTATGTAAACTTGAAAACCACTCTATATAACAACTACGTCAACATATAAACCACTCTGCATATGCAGTTATTTAAAAATCTGTACAAAATTTATTGACAACCACTATGAATTTATCAAAAATAAAGCCTGACATTATGAAAACCACTCCGTATAAACAACTATATAAACATGAAAACCACTCTGTATAAAATAGCTATATAAACATGAAAACCACTTTATATACACAACTATATAAACATCGAAAAATCACTATGAATTCTAACAAGAAAACATCAAAAATTCTACGAAAAAGAAGCTATAAAACCACTATAAAGGACACCATCTTCTCTCCATTGAACCCTAGAGCATAGTCCGTGTAATCATCTTCTTCTCGTTATTTGAAACGTAAACCACTATTTGAAAAAATCATCATCTTCTTCCTCCCATCAGCAATTTCGTCAAAAAAAATCATCAAGAACAAAAACATTACCAAAATTAAAAGAACAAAAATCAGCTGTTAAAAAAAAAAAAAAAAAAGAAACAAGGATAAGAAATCAAAAACATGTTAGTTCAATTCATTCAAAACATTTTCCTTTCCAAGCAACTTAAAATCCACTCAAATGTTATCGAAATTCACTACAAAGTTATCAAAATCCAATTGAAAATTAACTTACTCCACAACCAAATTAACATAATCAACTATGTAACTATCTAAATCCACTTTTAAACTATTTGAATAAAAAAAATTCCCATCAAATAAAAAAACCCAAAGGCGTTGTCTCGTCTTGGGGGTTAGTAACCTATCGGAGGCGCCTGTGAGAGAGAATCAGAGAAGCCGTAAAAAGAGAGAAAAACGATGAGATAGAATGTCAAAGAGAACGGTTGAGAATTGTGGCTAGGTTAAAAAAATTAATTAGGGGTAAAATAGGTTAAGTATGTTATATTTTAATTTAATATTAATTATTGGATTTATGTTAAAATGAGGAAGAAAAAATGGGGCCGCCGTAATGGGGAGTTTCATATGAGGGAGTTTTAGCAAATTCTCCCATATAAAAAATCATCAAATGCATGTAGTTTATTATAAATATTTAGTAAAATGAAAGATCCAAAATATAGCGGAAATGGAATGTATTTACTATTTAGGGAAAATAAAAACCAACGATATAAAGTCCACAGTAAAAAGCGTGTTTTTGTTCTCTCACCGCACGAACCGCAGAGAAATCACCGTTCAGTACTAAACCAGAGTCCCCATTCATACTGGTCAATTACAATCCCTCCCAAAAAATACAACATTTTTCACTCCGCGAAAATTTTCTCTCAATCAAAGGTTTTCCGATCGATCATATCTCCGATGGCTGAGGTAAATCCAAAATCTACGGTATCGTATGTAACCCTATTTATTTTCGATTGGTATATGGTGATTCCGATTTTATCATTTACCAGCAAATTCGATGCATTATTTATCGATGCTTAATTTCATACAGTTTTGGTGATATCTGATGTAATTGAAAATGTATATTTTTTTTTCAATAGCGTGGGCCGTTGAAATTTATAGGTATAGCTTTGATTCATGGTTGTTGGATTTGAACGTTGATTTTCTAGTTTTTTATTTTTTATTTTTTTTAGGGAAAGGTTAAATTCCAGTAATTATGGCATGATTTAGTTCGTGGTTGTAATGATTCTGGTTTTTGACATGGTTTTTTGTTTCAGATTGAACTAAAAACTGCGCCTGCTGATTTTCGGTTCCCGACTACCAACCAAACCAGGCATTGTTTCACCCGTTATATTGAATTTCACAGGTTAGTTCTTAGTTTCAATAGGGCGTTTTTTATTCTTTTCTGTTTCAAAGTAATTGATCTAATGAATCGGAATGTGTTTAGCTGACTGTTTAAAAGTCTAAATCACGGGACGATATTATGTGGGCACAAATTGGAGAACTTGCATCGAATAAGTAATGATATGAGCATAAGATGTATGTGCTCGTATTTAATTTGACCTCGTTTTTTCTGTTCTCTTGAAATGCCTTAACATTTATTTGACCTTTTTGAGTTTTATGAGTCCATGACAATTATAAATATAGTTATTTTGTGGGTTAGTAGAGTGTGGAATATGCTTTACCAAGTGGCAGGAAAAGTTACATTAATGCACACACACATCTTCTTTGATTAGGTAGAATAGGGAAGTACCTAGAATTTTATCAGTGAAATCTTTCAATTAAAGTTTAGGATGATAAAAGACGGTATATGATTAGGTACTTTAATGACGAACAATGAAATGTTTATTCCAATTAGTGTTAAGCAATGTAGTCAAAATCGAGATCTAAATCGTAAAATCGTAAGATTTTAAGATTTTACACACTGAAAAGGATTAAGATCGCAATAAAATCGCAAGTGCCTTAAAATCGTGTGAAATCGCGTCAAAAATCGTTAAAAACGTGATTTTAGTGTATTTTGGCAATTTTGGTTTTTATCAAGAATTGGGGTGAAATTTTGGATTTTTGCCTCATAAATTCAGTTTTATAACTAAAAAAATTTAGCCAATTACCAAATAATCCAGAATATATAAAGCCCAGCCCTAATTTGCCCTAAAATAGCAATCTATCACGACGAGAAGAAAATACTTCTCTTCTGCTTAAAAAAACATCCAGCGGCCGTGAGTGTCAGTTTCAGTTATCACCTAGCACAATCTATGTTAGACTATGTTTGATTAATGTTAAAACATGTTTTGCTAATGTTGGTCTGTTTTCTATATGTTAGGACATATTTTATGTATACTATGACTTATTTTATTTGTGTTACGGATGTTTTCTAAGTAGTAAGTACTAAATATATTTATTTTACAATACATGTAAAATCTTATGATTTTAAGATCCGATTTTACGTTTCCGATTTTATTACCCCTCTCCGATATCACTTAAAATCCCGATTTTAACTACCTTGGTTAAGTAATGGAGGTGAGCCCTTCTAGCATGTACGGGATTTGGGAGAGGAGGAAACTTGCACGAGATTTTCATTTAAGCTCTGATAGTTATATGCATTAAGAGCTGTTTGAGTGGTCGTATTCACATCGAGGCCCTTGACATGAATGGATGTCCTAAACTTTGGATTTATTCTTTGATTTTGTAAATATTAAAATTGCTAATGATGTCTAAAATCTAAAGGAAGAAGACGAACGATATTTTTTGGCAGTGCTTATTGCATAAAATTTGGCTATTTATAGTCACGAGAGAACATACGCTTTTATGAAATACAAAATAGTTGAGATAGTGTACCCATTTTATTTTTATTTGACTAGCAACTAATAATTATTATGTGTTTTCAGGTGTGTGGCTGCTAAGGGTGATGAATCGGGTGATTGTGGTAAATTTGCCCAATACTATCGTTCCCTCTGCCCAGGGGAATGGGTAAGTTGATATTCTGGAGGCCTATCCTTTCAATTTTGTTTTATATGGACGAAACGCGTTTCGTTTCAATGATTTTGAAGGGGTGATGTAGGAAGGCATGTGTTTCGTTCTGTTCATGCATATGTACCAAAGGGTGTCGAATTATGTTGTCCATGCGCTCTTACATATAAAATCGAGAAAATTTGATCTATTTCTGCCTAATTAGTAGTTATTTTATCCAAGAAATCTGTTACCCCGACAAACGACCACATCGCACATAGTATCCGTTTGAAAACCTTAGTTAGAATGTTAGAGATGAACACTTGTTTCCATTGTTATTCCAACGCCTGTATGGCTATGCTAGTTTCAAACACCCAACATCTACTAACACGTTTCAGGAGCTGATAATTTTGGACTTCTTATTTATCAAAACGTAATATTGCTATTACGCTTCAAACATATGAGTTGTAAATAGAAACTCTAGTAGATGCTTCGTCAGCATTTTCAGTGTTTGGCTTATAACTTTAATCATCCGCTATTGAAAACCCCTTGTCTGAAACATTTTTCTCTCTTTTATAATTGTGAAATATCAATGTTGCAAGCATAATGTCTGTATTTACGTGTGAACGTGATAGTAAGGCATACCGACCGACGTATTTCATATTGGTTTCCCTTAGACCTGCATTAGGGTATTCATAATTTACAGATAACTAGTTAATGATGAGTTAGTTTACTAAGGCCTCGTTTGGTTGGGGAGATTAGCCATGATTAACTAAATAATGGGACTTTGTTTGATGTTTGCTATACCCAATAAATTACCTGGTCGACCCGCAAATATTATGTTATCATGCCTTATCTTGCCTTTTAGGCATGTTTTTTATTGGATCTTCCAAGGTCTAATAATACAATTGGGTTTCATTAGATTAATTAATTTTATCTTAACTAATCTTATCTTGGCAACCAAACGAGGCCTAAAAAAATTAGTATTTGATCCTCTTTTGTTTTCAGAGATAATATATCTTTAACATTAATAGAAGTATTCTGCCTTTGATGTAGAAATTATTCGTTAAGCTTCAATACTCCGTCCCCACTAAAGAGTTGCAAACTCGAAAATCTGCTATCCCATCGTATATTTATTATGTCTTCATACATTCAAGCATTTGAATATCTTTGTTTATTTTCTTAAGGTTTGAATAATCTATGGCATGATTTCAAACTTTTGAAGATTTCCCACTTTGACCGGGATTTTTTAGCGGCTCTCTCATAATTATGCTATTTTTTTGTCGCTTTTAAAATATGTTTGGTCTATCGAATTTTTTTCATCAATTGTGTCTAATTTCATTAATCTTTGTCGGATGACATTAATTATTGCAGGTTGAGAAATGGAACGAGCAGAGGGAGACTGGAACATTTCCAGGGCCACTCTAGTTGAACAACAATCTTAGGGTTTGAGGACTCGGGTACTCGGGTTTGCCATTTAACTCTGGTTTGATGATGCTAGTCATTTTGGTTTGGTTTGAAGTTTAAAAATATTAATAAATCATTATTTTAGCAACTTTCGGAATTGTGCATACAATTCTTATGCTTCTCTATTGTGCGAACAAGAGTTTGCTGAAGGGAACTGATGTTTTTTTCCTAGTGTTGGTTGGACGCTGTTGTTCCTATTAATGTTATCCTTGTTTCGTTTTTTTTTAATTGAAATGTGTTTTATCGAGATATTTACTACATCAGAATTACGATAAATAGATCATGCATCAAAAACTTTGGAAGATTAATGTTGAATTGAATTGTGAAGTCTCGGGGTGGCTAATTTGGTATCGCTCGATTGGCGCATTTCAAAATCCTAAGTTTCGGGTTTCGTTTAGATTGCATTTGGATGGAAGAATTTGAGCACATGATTTCAAATTCACAGTGAACTTGTTTGGATTTATTAATTTCATAATGAATTTTAAATCATTAGCTCTTACTTGAAGTTAAACTTTTTGAGGTCATTTGAAATCTTGTTTCAATGTCTTCTCAAATCTAATTTTTTTATATCAAAATGTTTCTAATGGCAATAGTTAATAATTGATGTTGATAGTTAATCTTGATACTTGGAGAAACAAATTTATTTATTTAAATAGTATAAAAAAATATTAAAAAAAGTGAGAGAGAGAGCCTTTGAGTGTTTCAGAATATTAGATTACTCGTTTTGAGTGAAGAAATTGAATACATAAGAATATAGTTTTGAGTACTTATGAAGACCTGTACAAGAATGAATAAGTCATTGATGAAATTGATATTTGATATTGAAGTAGATAAATAATTAGAAATGCAACTTAAATCCAACTCCAAGACAATCTAATAAATGATTTAACTTTAGAAATCTAAGCATTACATTATTTGTCACGTTGAATACCACAATCCAAACGTGCAATTCAACTCGGACTAGAACCACTGCCAACATTTTTTAGGTCGAGTTCGTCAAACGTAACTAACCTAGTGTGACTCATAAAAAAAAATTAATGGTGGAATTTGCAAATGAATCTTTGTACTCTCTTGGCATAATTTAATGAAATTGTGTTATTTTGGTGTAAAGAGAGAGAGAGAGAGAAACTGCAGAGATATCAATCCTCGGAAAGTGCTGTGATTTTTCTGTTTTCTTTTCATTTTGTCCTTAATGATTTTTGAAGTCAAGCCTCAAAGAAGAAGAAAAGATAAGCCGCGTTTGGCAGTCGCAATCAAGATTTGTCAGCTTATGGATTGGGTCAAAGGGAAAATATCTGCATTTTAAAATTCGTTAAGACAAATTAATACCTGTACTATAATAATAATACGGTTCTTTGCAGGGCTGCTTATTTATTAACCTTAAATATAGAAATTAGAACACCTAACTGGAAACAGTTCCATTCAATAACTCTTTACTTTCTCCAAAATAAACCAATATATAACTGTTGACTTTTCAACAGCTAGCTTAGTGTATTCTGAAAGGTTCCAAGTGTATATTATTATTATTATTATTTTAATAATGATATGATACTAGTATAAAACAATTGAAGAATAACAATTATTAATTTTAATAATAATACATAAATAAATAAAAACTGGAGGGTTCGAGGGTTTCCCTGGTGAGACCACACATGTATGTTTCCTGTGGAGATAAGGAAATCACTTCGAAATGCCTCAATTAATTAAAAGTTCCTATTTTTTTTTTTTCTACTTTGTTTGACCAATAATTATACTTTAATTTTGATATTATTGAGGTAATTTTTGGGTACTAGGAAATTGATATAAATCTGAAAATTCAAGTATTAGTAATACTAATATTCAGTTAAACCTATATGATTAATACAGTCGACGGCACCAGACAAATTCTATTTATTTAGCGAAAGATTAATTTAATAAAATATTTTTCAGCTCGTTACCTTAGAGTTGGGACCGAGAAAACATATTTTAACTTAAACGAAATTACTAAATTATCGAGTATTAATTTATCGTTGTTTTGGTGTAATTTGTACCTATGCCCACAAATACCATGTGCAAATTGCTTAACGAAAACTAACCTACGGTACATGGTGTGACTTAATCACAAGGTCTAAGTCTTCGAATAAATAAATTAATATATATATATATATATATATATATATATAAAGGCCACAATTCCACATGGATTGGTTTAACATTAAGATGATGAGTTTATTCGATGTTATACTGGTGAAATACATCAAATGATTATTGATCATTGACCTATGTATAATCACACACACATTTATGTATGTATGTGATTAGTAAATAATTATTTTATTACATCAACATTAAAAAGAAAATCATCCAGTGTATTTCGGCATGCGTAACATTTAATAGACCTTGTGTTGTAAGATATTCTATGTTAGACGACTTCAGTTAAGACATAGTGTAGAAGACTCAACAGCTACTTCATTGTATATATATATATATATATATATATATATATATATATATATATATATATATATATATATATATATATATATATATATTTGAGATACATCACTTATTTCAGTGTTTGTAACTTTATAAAATATTTAATACCTTCGGAGTTCAAATACTATTCTTTATTTTATTTTAATTTATGATATTATCTTAAGAATACAAAACAAAATGAAATAAGGAGTTGACTGAGTCATCCGAGGTTCCACGTCATTCCGTTGCGTTTACACGTCATTTGCCGTTTACGTCATCCCTGAAAGTTTGTGCTAATCTAACGGGGCTTTCATAGTTCACACACGACACCGTCACCAACTTGTTCTTTTCATTTTCGGCATTTAATTGAGAATGTCAAATATTTTTATTCTTAATTAAATCATGAATGCATTTCATTTTTCTAAGATTTTACAATTTTGTTAATTAATTTTAATTTGTGAAAGGAATGTTGACATGTGCTTTAGGTACTATATATTCCGTAACTATCTAATTTTGAAATTTATTTTTATGAATGATCTGGTGTCTTCTCGTGCGATGTATGGAATAACATTTCAAAATTGAGAAAATAAATTTATTTAAATAAATGATGTATGGGATAACATTTCAAAATTGAAAAAGTAAATTATTTAAATAAATGACAGTAACAATTCGAATAAAAATATACTATGCTATATAATAAAATTTATTATTGATATTTAAATTACAAATATTTTATCCTATGGAATATTATATTAAAAATCATCCAATGTTATGGTCGTTGCAAAATAATCCAAATACTTTTCTAATTCAATATAATTTAGATATTTCACAAACTGAACGTTAATTTCAGGGGTAATTGTATATTTTTTTTTAATAAAACGGTTTTTCTGTAAATACACAAACTTCATACCTCAAGAGTCATGAGTCATGACGGTTATCATAATTAACCCTAAAATTTTAAAATTTGAAAGTAAACAAATATTAGCATTGATTACCAGTTTTTAATTATATTTCAATATTAATATATATAAAAAATTATTATAATGCAAAAAGAAATTAATTGAGGTTGGTGCCAGGTGGTGGTTACCCTTTTATTTCAAAATCTGAAACACAGTAACAGACGGTCACCGTAAACCGTGACAGCACAGCGCACCGCCGTTACACGAACAAATTTGACCGTTATCCCCCACCCCCCACCACCCCGCGGTCCACGTTTCCAAACGAAAACTCAACTGCAGCGTTCACCCAATCAACACGCGAGTACTTTTTCAAATATCCATACTCTCACAGTCCCACACGTAATAACCCACACGCGCCAACGCGTCGTTCCATGTCGGTTTTTTCTTCCTTCCTTCACCCCCTTTTTACACATATATATATACGAATCTCACCCCCACTCAATTTCCATCCAGTTTTCTTCCTTCCTTCAATCCTTTCAATTTTTTTTTCTCAGATCTCCAATTGATAAACAATAATCAAAAATCACAGACGAAAAATCGTAAAAAAAAAAAAAATGGTGCGAATCAGTAACAATTTAGTCGGAATTCTGAACATCGTGACGCTCCTCCTCTCGATTCCGATAATCGGCGGCGGAATATGGCTGTCGAAGCAGGCGAACACGGAGTGCGAGCAGTTTCTCGACAAGCCGGTGATCGCGCTGGGTGTGTTCATCCTGCTGGTCTCCATAGCCGGATTGATCGGATCTTGCTGCAAGGTTTCGTGGCTGCTGTGGGTGTATCTATTGGTGATGTTCCTGTTGATTCTGCTGCTCTTCTGCTTCACCGTTTTCGCGTTCGTGGTGACGAACAAGGGCGCCGGCGAGGCGATTTCGGAGAGGGGATACAAGGAGTACAGGCTCGGCGACTACTCGAATTGGTTGCAGAAGAGAGTCAACAACCACTGGACCAAGATTAGGAGCTGTTTGGTTGACAGTAAGATTTGCCAGAAGCTGCTTGATTCTGGCTCTACTCCTGTTGAAGTCTTCTACAAAGAACGCCTCGGCGCTCTTCAGGTATATATATATATATATTCATTTGCCTGTTTGTGATTTTTGTGTGTGTGTGGATCGGTTTATGCATGTATGTTAATATGTATGGTTTTGATTTTTGTTCGTGTTCTTGGGTGTTTCATGCCTTGATTTGAGATTCGGTTGGTACTGTTTTTCACGAATTTGATTTGAGTGAATTGTTAGAAAAACCGATGATTAGTTTGAATTGTTAGAAAAATTGATGATTATTTTGAATTATTAGAAAAACCGATGATTATTTTGAATTGTTAGAAAAACCGATGAATAAACTTAGGGTTGTTGATTATTGAATGCCAACTAATATGGTTATTTGATTTTTGATGGTGTACATGTTTGGGGAGTATCTAATATTTCTGCATCGATAGAATCTAAACAAAATGGTTGAAAAAGCTTATCATGATGATATTTGACCTTTGGTTAATCATTTACTTTTTGAGGGGGCAATGATTTTAGAAACAAAAGGATGTCGAGAATAATATATAGTCCGTCGCAAAATCGAACATCTTCTTTGAGTTCGTAATTCGTATCTTTTTGCATTTATGTTTGTTTTGATTGGCTATTAGTTCTTTTTATAAAGTTGAGTGTCTCTTTACAATTCTTGTATTTCTTGAAAGTGAATCCCTTTTTACTTTATCAAATTGCACTCACCTTCGAAAATCATTTCCACTCATTGCCGATATACGTACAATATGTGGTTGTCTGGTGGATTCATCTTCTGTACATTTTTTTTATGTCGAATTTCATAAATTAAATACTGAATTTGCGATTTTTTTTTTTTTTTTTAATGACAGTCGGGTTGTTGTAAGCCATCGAACGACTGCAAGTTTGAGTACTCGAGCCCGACAAACTGGACGCAAACAGGAACATCAACATTGAATGCAAATCCAGATTGCAGTGTATGGAGCAACGACCCAAACGTGCTCTGCTACAACTGCCAATCGTGCAAGGCTGGACTGCTCGACAATATCAAGAGCGATTGGAAGAGAGTTGCTGTCATCAACGTTATATTCCTCGTCTTCCTCATCATCGTCTACTCCATCGGATGTTGTGCTTTCCGAAACAACAGAGAGGATAATTCTTGGAAACGCTACCCTTGAAGAACCCCCCATCGTGTGTTTAATTGTTAAGGTTGTGTTTTGAGTAGAGAGATATATATTCGATTCCCTTTCGAAACCCTTTTTTTTTTCTTCGTTTCTTGCATTTTTTTTCGTATATCATCAGATATTGTTCTTGCTGGTTTTTATTAGGTGTACAGTGATTTGCCTCTCTATTCAGATTCATACCATATTGTGTTTACTAGATATCTTTCTGTTATATATATATATATATATATATATATATATATATATATATATATATATATATATATATATATATATATTATGGGCAATATTTTGTTTTATTTTATTTGCTTCTTAATTAATGAGTTATAGATATATCAATTAAATTTGGCTATATTTTAATTTGGATTTTGTATAAAAAAAAGGGGGGTAATTAAAGGTTTTTATAGTAAAGGGGAGGTAAGTGAAGGTTTTTTTTATTACAGGGGATGAAAGTGAAATTAACCCGAGAGGATAAGGACTAATATGTTTTCAAATAAGGACTAATATGTTTTCAAATTGAAATAAATGATTGAGTGCTGGACCAGAAAAAAAAGAATTGATATCTGGCCACCAGTTTTAATAACAAATTTCAAGTGGCTGCTGCACCTACCGTTTCTAATTTATTTTGGTTTCAATATCTAAATTGACGTTTGTTGACTTTGTCCAGGTCAATTCTATCTTGATTAAATTATATCTTAATTTGATATTTAATTCCCAAGTTTTATTAACTTAAGATTCCCAATTATATTAAATTACAAAAACTTATTAGTAATAAGTAATAACAATACTTAGTTTATTCAACTTAGAATGGGATTTTGGCCATTTTCTAATTCGATTTTGGCAAAATACAAAACACGCAAATTGTAGCTCTTTATGATTGCTTTTTAATTCAACCCGAGTCAACTAATTAGAGTGTCTGATGACAAAGTTATGCATGAATGAATTACGTTTTGAATTTTAGATAACTCAAATTATCAAATTTGTGGAAAATATTCATTGATTCATGAATAACTTTCCCATGTGATAACCAATCTTGGTGATTCAAGTTGCATTTGCAATCTAGCTCGAAGAATTACATATTTTATGTTTTGAATTTCGCCTAACCAAGACTAAAAAAATGTCAAACATTACATTTAAAGTTGAAACGGTATTATTTAAATCTGAAATGACATTTAACACACCCCAGAGTCTACAAATATTATAAACTTTAGTTGAGACCCAAATTAATAATTTAATTATTGTGACGTCACACGTACATTGATTGATGAATTTTTTTGTTTATAAAAACAAGATTCTCAATTAGATTAATTTTTCAGGCAAAAGTGGCTCTTCCAAATCAATAATTTGATTGTCCAATATTATTTGATCAGCTTCACTTTGCTTCTTCAGTTGACTTGTCTCTTCCTTCTTCTCTTCATTGTCTTTTGCTTTACCCCATAACACAATATACAATCCAACAATAACAGCCAAATGCACCCTACCAATCTAATTTAACAAATTTGGCATATATTTATTATCTAATTTAAATAAATTTTGTTTATCTAACTAGAATCTTAATTATTAATATATATAATATATATTGGGGTAAATTACGGCCACCTCTTAGGAAATGTCAAATGATGAAAACTCCCATCTTCTTTGATAATTACAATCATCCCCTCAACTATGGATCTTCTTACACGTTCACCCTTATGGTATCAAATTCGACATAATCTTTTAGATTCCGTGAAATGCTCTCTATTTTATATTCATTTTGTGCAAAAATGCAGTTTCTGATAAACCACACAATCTGATATTTACAAGCCAAAAGAAACATCTTATGATCATCTTGTTTCAGAATGTGGAGCTCAAACGAGGTAAAACGGGTCCAAACTGAAGAAGATTCTACATAATCTAGAAGATTCCACTAAATTTGACACCACCACAAGAGTGGATGTGTAAGAAGAATCGTAGTTAAGGGGATGATTGTAATTATCAAAACAAAAGATTTTTTTTTTCGTAATTTAACTTTACCTCAGTGGATGACCGTAATTTACCCTACAATATAACATGAGAAGTACCTTCCAATGTACATCTCCTCATGCAGAAAGGTACAAGCGAGGACTGTTACTACAACGGCACAAAGAGGATTGAACATAGCACTGAAGAAGGGTCCTTTCCTTGCAATGCACCAAATTTGACCAAAGAAAGCTACTGCTGATACTAAACCCTATAAATTACACATATAATTAATTTAATTTTTTTTTTTTCGGATTTTCGTTTTCATTTAATTATTAGTTCTTGCTAGATAAAAAAAAAACAATGTTGAATGACCAAAGTTTAAACTGTTAGTGAAATGTATCATTTATTAATTTTAATATCTCCAATGCGCCCCCTCAAGTGCAGACGAATAACATTTGAGTGACGGGGATTCGAATTCAGAAACTTTCATTTTACATGACTCTAATACTATAAGTCTATAACTACCAGTAAAATGAATCATTTAATATTAATATCTCCAATAAAAAAACATTGCAGAACTAATAACACTTACAGCGTAGAGGCAGCACAATATTTCAAGGGAGGAATTGAGTTTCCAATTAGCTTTCGAATTCGGCTCAAAGATAACAGTCAATATTCCAGATTGAATTGATGCCAATAAACACATCCAAGCTGTTAATGAAAGATGATCAGGGTAGCATGTAGCTATCTGGACCTGTCCAATTTCCAGCATTAGTTATTGTTCTAATTCAAGTATTTATTAATAATAATAATAATAATAATAATTATTACTATTATTGAAAATCTTGAGGTATTCATTATATATGTACCTGCAAAATAAGCCCGACTGACCAGCAACAGGAGCTTCCGAAGAGTAGCAAAATACCCAGTAACCATGTATTTTCCTGTTCTCCCATATTACGGAAAACGGAATTAATTGGTTCCATGTTTAGTAATTTCGGACCTTTTACTAGCGCCATGGTAATTGCACCCGTTACGCAGAAAAGTGTCCCCACGATTTTAGCCATGCTTCTCAAGCTTCTCAAATGGACTTTCTCTAATCTGATTTACTAATTGTTTAACTATGAAATTGTTTAAAAATAATAAAAACAATTATATGAAAGAAATTGATTATATTTGAATTAATTACCCCATGGTATAAGCCATTATAAAAGTGATTGCAGGTACCAAATTCCCCAATGCACTTGCAGATGATGAGGTGGCTAGGTACAAACCCTCAAAGTAGAGGTTTTGATTTAGTGTCACACTGCAATACTAAATTAGTTAAAAATGTAAATCACCGGTGCACCTATATGATTGATTGCGAGTTCTTTCGTTATAAATTTCGAGGAAAAAAAACATTGTGATTGGTGTTGGTATATATTGAAAAGTCAACAAATTCTCTAAAAAAATTACGAATTTATAATATAATAATTTCTTTAGTTAAGCGACTTATTACAAGGAATTTATGCTAATATTATATATACGTAGAGTTCAAGACTTTCTTTGATTTAAGGAAAATAGTAAGTAAAAAATGGAAAATATTAGGTAAATAAATTAGTTTTCATGTTTGGTGGCAATATAAAATACTAGGTAAAGTATTTAGGAGGAAAAAAATGGAAAAGAAAATTAAACTAAAACACGGAAAATGAGTTTTCCTAAAAAAAATTGGGAAAACTACAAGTAAAATTTAAGGATCGTTCTCTGGATCCGGGACGGGACCTCTTTCGATTCCCTCCTTTCATTTCAATCTACTACTATCTTCTATCTCTATTCTCTTTCCCCTCCTCCGTCTTATCTCTTATCTCTCCTCTCTCCATCTATCACTCTCCCCTTTCTCTATCTAGGGATGATTTTTTATTTTTTTAACCTTACCAATTTTTTACCGAAATACTTTTACCGAAACTTCGATAATGGTAGTGATTCAAGGGTGTGCTTGTGGACACTCTTGAGGACAACACTTGATTAAAAAAAAAAAAAAAAAAAGAAAATTATAGTTTTAGATATCTATTATATATTATTACATGCATGTGATATGAATAATGATTGCAAGATTGGGTTGTAGGTCAAGTGGTAAAAAGCTTATCTTGCACTTGATACGTTTAGTGATAAAAAAAATATTCATTTGATTATATGGCGCTTTAATTTCTAAATCATGTGAGTGATATTGAGGGTTTTTTTTTTTTTTTTTTTTAAATTTTAATTTTATTTATGTTAATAATCACTTGCCTTAGAAAGGAGAGCAAAAATATCAACCAGAAGCTTTTCCACCCATACCAATATCCCTGTGTTTCTCTCCTGCACGAGTATATCAAAATGAATATATATTCGATGTAAAATAAATTTGATCTCGATTATATAACATTAGAAAATAAAATAAATTAATCAAGGATGAAGTTCTTGAATTGATGTTATAAATAGCAGATACCTTGTGAAGCAAGCAAATGGAGAAATTAACAAGAAGGCTATGAATTGTCTGTAAACTACAAACACCCTTGAGCTCATTTCATGCACAAGTGCAACTCTGCTTATCAGATTTACACCTGCATACATACACTGACATACAATCAGTACTACTGTAGGCAAACTACTACTACTCATCTCTCTCTCTCTCTCTCTCTAAATTTGCTGTTTAGGATAAAAGGTGTTTTTCAAAACGAAAAATTGAAAATGAAAGGAATGTTTGTTCGGTTCTCTATTTTAATTTAGAGGATACAACGTTTACTGTAACAGAAAAATCATGTTCAAAAGTAATTAATAACATATTTTTGAAAAATTATAAGTAGTATATGATTGATAGTGTGTATCAGTCAAATTATGTCGGACCGAGAAAAAAATATTCGATTTTAATTAACCAGTTAAAATACACCAATCATTAAGATTTAAGGGAGAAATTAAAGAATTCGATGTTTGTAAATAGTGGTAATTAAGTGGATGCATGTGCATTACTGTCCTATAATACATGTAATTAATTATTAATCGAAGAGCATCAATTAGGACCAGTTTTTGAAAAACAAAATTCCAAATTATGCGGTTGGCTCTTATGGTTTGCTGACTAAGATGTTGTACTTAATTACTATTAAAATGTCATCAAACTATAATCATGTTCCTTGTTGTTTCTCGAATCACTGTGTCATAAAAAGGCCCGTTTCTGAGGAGAGACGACAAAGGCAACTGATTTTTTTACAAAATTTAGGGGGTCCTCACTATTTTGAAAAAAAAAAAATTGTTTATATATTAATAATTATATATAATATTTTTTTATATAAGGGCATTTACTCTTTTAAGTTATTTCCCTAAATACCATGGGAAAGTCGCATTATTGCTACCGCAGACTGAAGAAGTTAGAAATGTTTTAGTTGAGTTGGCACGCAATAATGGACATGGAACAATAACTCGTGAAGCTGAATTCTTGATCATAAATGAATTCGATAACTTTGAATTTTAATCGATTTGATTATTTGATGTTGAATAGTGTCATATGGATGAAGGTTTAGTTGAGTGAGTTAAAAGAAATTATTCCTTTTGAAGAATACATATGTAGAACATATTTTGGGTGTTCAACTTGTATTTGGACGAGACGCTAATTAAAAGAAAAATGGCAATTGAATGAGAATGAGAATGAATACACACTTCAATCGGCAAAATAAACTCTTAAATTCGATTTTTTTTTTTTGTTATTGATCAAGCACTAACTTAATTGAGATGGGGATTTGAAGATTTTCAAATGTTTGAAGGACAATTTGCAATTTTTGTTAGATCTAAAGAAATAGAAATTGGGTGACGATGAATATTTGAAGGCTTCTTAAGCTTCAATATTTTTTTAAAACACGATATGCAATCTGATATATATTGACGGGGAAGACTTATGTAATGAACTAAAATACTACAAGATAAAATGAATTACTGATACCATAATTGTGTCGCTCTCAAAAGTTGTCATTAAATATATATATAAAGTGACAATATTTTTATGTTGTCACTAATAATTGCTTTTGTTGTCACGTATTCCTTTTTTTTTTTTGTCATTAATAAAAGTGACAATCCCTTTTTACTTTCACTATATAGTATTAGTGACACCCTATTAGTTACAATTACAGTGACAATTTTTTTTTTGCCTAATCATATGAAAATTAGTGTTGTCACTCAAAATATTATTTCTTGTAGTGAGGGTGTTGTACAAGAAATTCTACTGAAAGAAGCAGAAACAACAATTGGAGTGTTAAATTACTTGAAAATGACTAACGGTAGTTTTTCGAATGCATGGGTTGCTTATAGAATACTATTGGCTATATAGACCATTCACATTTGCATGGTAGAAAAAGTTTCTCAAAGTTGAAGTTAATCAATTCTTACCCCCGATCAACCATAAACTAGGAAATAGTAAATCGGTTAGCTAGCTATATATGTATTGAAAATGATTTGGCATAAACACTTGATTTCAGTAGTTTGATAAGTAATTTTGCAACTTAGAAAACAAGAAGAGTTATTACTTATTAGCTCGAGATTATTTATGTGCTTCTTATATGTTATATATGTTTTTAATACTTATTATAACATTAATATGTTGTCACGAAAAATACAATATGCATTTATTTTATGTTAATATTTAACTGAATATACAAGGATTCCCGTTTTGACCGCCTTACCAAAGTTCGAATTGGGCCTCCGAATCATAAGAACGGGCCTGTGTCAAAATGATACAAATAAATATGTATGCACATAACACAATTGTCTAGTGTGGTTTATTACTATACAAAATTACTTTCTTGAAAACAATGTTTCTAGATATAAAAATAATTGTTTAATATTTTCTTTTAACATTTTAAAATGTATGCTGCATGTGTGAAAATAGTGTGAATCTAGTAAACTACATAAAATATGATAACATATATCGTCTAATTGATTTTAGACCCAGTCCAGTTCCTATGTTCAAGATCTGTTGTTACTCAATCTGAAATACAGAATCCAAACATCGATGATAAATGAAATGTTGTTTGTAGATTTATTACAACTTATTTGAAAACAATTTCAGACAAGGTGCCGCGCATCTGAAATAAACGGAAATGGGGGAGTAGTTGGGCCGAAATGTCATATAAAAAGACCTAAAAAAGGCCAAGGCCCAATACCCGATAGTCCATTATATTCCCGTCCGATGTGGAGTGGGTGGTTGACATATGTCACTATATTTCGGTTACGAAAGAGACGAAAAGCCTGCAGTTTGATGTGGACCAAACAAATGCCCACTTGACACTTAAAGTAAAAGGGCGAACACATACGCAAACTCTCCCCAATTGCACTAGCTCAGCTCGCCTAGCACACAAGAAGCTCGCTGGCGATTGGCATACAACCTCGAAAGATCGCATCACTCACACGTGTGAATATGACCTAAGTTAGAAGAGGGCCCTACCGCCCCACTCCTAATGGCAGGTATCACGCAAAATACAGTCTTGAAAGCCAATGAAGCAAGTATCACGCAAACACTCTATTCTATTATCTACACATTGTTATCTACATTTCTTACTAACTTAACCGTTGGAGTGCTAACCGTGAGATATCTCCTGGAACCCCCGCACTTCTTTTTGCAGGTCTTCCAGGGACTTCTTGGGCTATCTATGTGAGCATTAATCTTCTAGAACCCATACCATTTCCTTTTTTTTTTCGATTATTAGCCGAAAGGGCATTATCAACCGAATACCGGGATTCCAGAAAATCTTGTCAAATACCGAACCGAAATTTTCGATTTGGTATTCGGCACTACCAAATTCCCGGTTTGGATCGGTACGGTTGGTTTAGCGGCCGAGTGGACACCTCGAAGTCCAACTAGTTCAACAACCTCTATTTAATAATGTATGACTCATCAAAATCTCCTTAGCTTGTGAAGGATTATTTTAACCAAGCTCTATTTTTTTATATTATCATTTTGTGGAGGTAACCATTATTGATATATATTAAATAAAAATATTCAATATTGCACATTTGTCAAGGGGAGAGTTGGCCGTAGCACATGATTAGTTAGTTGTTAGTTAGTACCGGCATTTATTCCTGTTTTTTCCAGGCTATGAACTAGTTGGCAAATTGAATTGAATTGAATTAATTATATAATTCAATATACTTTGACTTTCTTGATTTTATGATTAAATTTAGGATGTATGGTACGTAAATTACCATTAGTTTGGCATATTGCACCCTTAAGTTTCATTTATTATTTATTTATTTATTTATTTATTTATTTAATATTTATTATTATTATTAATTATCATCTACCAGAATTAGTGAAATGTACAGTACGTAGTGAGTAGTGAATTACCCACAAAAAGATTAATAGTAGGGTTAAAAATCAAAAGTGACAACTAAAGATGAATATGTTAGGGGTCCAACTTTTTGATGTAACACAACATTCCAAGTTATGTTGCTTTCACTTATTTCTATTTAATTTTTTGTATGTTTTTATTTTCTCCTTTCGTAATTTCCAATAAAAGAAAAATCTAGTAAATGGAACCGAAATAGTTACCGAAGCCCAAATCCGAAACCCGAAACTTGAAATCAAATCTAGTATATACTTTTCACTTTAAGTTTGAAACCTTAGTAATAACGTTTCGAGCTATGGAAAAGACGAATATATATATATATATATATATATATATATATATATATATATATATATATATATATATAATTTTGTATTAATGATTGCAAAAGAAACAAAACTAGAAAATATGATAAAGATGACAATTAAGGGAAAAGAAAGTGTATATAATGAAATATCAAAGGAATAGATTGTGGTGTTATGTTTATAGTTGATTGATGGATAGACCATTCCAATAATTGAATAAATAAACAAGAAACATGTGAATCACGCTTTGCTTATATGTTCGCAATTGCTGTAACATCTATAACAAATAAATTAAACCATGTTCGGATATTGTTGCTACTATAAAGTTATATATATATATATATATATATATATATATATATATATATATATATATATATATATATATATATTGATGATGCTAGTTAGTTAGATCATCTGGGGTGGTGTAGAAAATGAACTGGGAGAGCAAAGCGGATCAGTGGCTTGACAACTTGATGATCCTGAGGTACCTGCGATCATAGAACACATGAACTAAGCCGGGGGTTGATCCGACGGAAACCCCTCCGACGCTCAAGTCAAACGTGCTGATCATAGAAATAGTCAAGAGAATACAGTTAATAGTATTGCTCAGTTAATAGGACGTACCTTAAGGAATGAGTTCAAACCTTTATTTATAGCTTAGTTGAGATTGTCGGGCCCAAACCTTACTTGAAGGTGATTGGGCCTCGGTGATAGTGGTCTTCGACATTGGGCTCGTGGCCCAGTAGGTAAATAATTTGTAGGACCATTGGGTTGGGCCAATTAGGCATATCATTAAGCCCCCACTCTCGAGTCGATGTGGGGGCCATATTGGAATGGGTGACAGATCGTGTTGAGAGTAAAAATTGTAGTGGTCGATGGTGTGCGAAAACGCGTTGGAGCGTGTGTCGGAGGGGCGTGAATGCGCGTTGGCGCGTAGCGCGACAAAGTTGTCGCTATGTAAGTTATTTGAGTCGTCGGTGTTGTCCCGCGACGATG